ACAAGGACAGATATACCGTATTTTCCGGCGTATAAGACGACTGGGGGTATAAGACGACCCCCAACTTTTCCAGTTAAAATATAGAGTTTTCCAGTTAAAATATAGAGCTGTGCTGATGCTTCTGGCGTACCGGCGTATAAGACGACCCCCCACTTCTGAGAAGATTTCCCTGGGTTAAAAAGTAGTCTTATACGCAGGAAAATACGGTATTTGTGGCCCCAAATAGAAACATTTTGGTGTGCCATTCAATTCCATGTTGGAAGTAAGTATATTTGGGTACAGTAAAAAATTTTTTTTAATATCGGATGGGATTTTCAATTGAATTATTAAATATTAATCTAAAACATGTTTTCTCTTTCTGTACAGCACTCCAATTTTGGTCCTGTTTTATTTATTCTTAATGGCCTTACATGTGCGACAGGGGACTCTGTTGCTTCGCTTTAATGTTCTGCCATCAGAGGTGCTTTTAGGGAGGTACCGCCAGATACCGTAGGCAGGCAGACTTTGTCGTTGCTCTCTAAAAGATATAGAATCCACGACACACACCATACTTGGTGCTTGGGGGGGCCAACAGTGGGAGGGCTTCTAGTGTCCTGGCGGACCTCCTGATGGCACCTGGTATTTCTGGCCACTGTGTGACACAGAGTGTTGGACTGGATGGGCCTTTGGCCTGATCCAACATTGGCGTCTCTTATGTTCTCTTAAGTACTTCACTGCCCCCTCTATAGGGATATCCGATCTCATTGTATTACTCCATTTCTAGAGGGTAAGAGCTGGCACTCTGATTACTCAATTGTTCCCCTTCTTCTGTTCTAACTGCGAAATAATGGAGGCTGTTTCAAAATTTTTATATTATGCAATCAGAAGACGAGGCTTGAATAGCCAAGTGTAAGTGACTGATGCATCTTAGTATTTTCCTGTATTTCCACGATGTTTTGTGTTTTCATGCCAATAAAGGTTTTTTGTGTGTGAGACTGTTGCTTGTTGTATTTTGCACTATTTGACCTCTGAAGAAGGCTCTTGTGAGCTGAAAATGCTTCAGGTCACACACTGTCCTTTTTTGTGTGTATTTGTAACTTTGAACATTTTATGAGGCTTTATTTGGGCCCCTACTAGGTTTTTATATGTCTTTGTAATCAACACTCTTTTGTACACTTACTGATGTTCTTAACTTCTGGCCCTCAATAAGTTTTCTAAATTGTAATCAACACTCTTTTGTTTTTAACTTCTGGCCCTCAATAAGTTTTCTAAACTTCCTTTGGAGGGGTGTGTCCTCAACAAACACCTCAAATTGTACCTCAAATCGTTTGACCTCTGAAGAAGGCCCCCCCAAGGGGCAGAAACGCATCAGGTCACTTGCACTGGCCCCCTGTGTTCAGGCCACTCGCACTTTGTAACGAAGCTTTCATTGGGCCCTTACATGTTTTTAATTGTCTTCCTAATAAACACATGTATTTTGGTATATAATAATTACACGCTAGATTTTTTTTAATACAGGCCCTTTATCGGGCTTCTTTCTTACCCTTGTGGTCCTTGATTCAAGGTATTGGCTCAATTTTGTTTCCCCCCCCTCCCTGTGTCTTACTGCCAATTAGGACTGCCAACCCCTACTTGGGAAATACCTGGCTATCAGGGGGTGGAGCCTCGGGAGGCGGGGCTTGGAGAGGGGGAGGGTCCTCCTCAGTGGCGTATAATGGCATAGAGCCTACCCTCCAAAGCACCCTTTTTCTCCAGGGGAGCTCCGGGGATCTCTGCCATATGGAGATCGGTCGTAATACCAGGAGATCTCCATCCCTTGGAGCTTGGAAGTTGGTAACCCTACAGCCCAATACACAGGTCGTTCCAAGGCTGGCTGACGTCATTTTTGGGCAACATTCTAGTGCATGGGTGTGAGGACTTTCACTCAGCATTACAGGAGACATGGGGACCTGGTGAACCCAGTCGCTGTTCCAGCATGCAGATTAAGTGCCAATCTGGAGGGCTTCCTCATGAGTAAACCCATTTGTGGGACACCAGAGCCCAGAGGAAAGACTTTTGCCCTGCGAACATGGCCCTTTCCTGTTCTTTCCTTTGCCCTGCCGTTTTATCCCCCCCCCCGCCCAGTGCTCACAGTTCCGAAGGGCCCCCTTGCCCTGAAATTAAGTGCGCCCCGTTTCTTACAGAAGTCAGTTCTGTTCGCTCCTCTGGCTGGTGAAGGATGCGGTTTAGAAATACGACTTTTTGTTGTTGCTGTGGCTGCAAATCTCCATGATGGAAAATTGCATACGCAAGATTACACAGGCAAGGTATCAAAAACAACTTCCTCATTTTGCTGGGGGTGCGTGCGTGGAACCTTCCTTGCTAGCAAAATAATCTAGCAAAGAACATGACATTTCATACAGACTGCCTAACTATGAAACAGCTCATGATTTTAAGCTACGGCCGTGTCTTCGTGCATCTTACTCATCCACATTACCTCGAGGTTATTTCGCATCTGCTTCTCTTCCTCCAGGTCTTTTTTCAATCTTTCCAGTTCTTTCCTTTAAAAATTAAAAAAGGCAGCCCTAGTTCATACATGTCATGTGACAAAGTTAGTCCTTACGGGAAAGAACAATAATCCATCGTATACAAGCTACATTTGGACCTAAGGGGGGGGGGAGAAGAAAAGTCATATGAAGGTGATTTGAGACAAACTTCACCCCTGGGGTTGTCTTGGAGGGAGGTGGAAATAGCTCCCTCTCTCCTCCTCCCCCCCTCACTGTAAAACAGCTTATATACAACCTCTTCACACAACACTTTCTATATACATGTGAACAGCTGGAAGCATGTGCAGATACACACACATTATGCACAAACACAACAAATCAGCCTAGAAGTCACAGGCACGCCCAGTAGCAATTCTGTTGTCACAACTACTTATTTTTCTAGTCTATAGATGGCCAGGAAGTAGTATTACCTGGGCTCCGATCAGCCAAGCTGGATTTAAAAAAGCAACCGTAACTAGAGAATTGAAAACAATCTCACAGTTCAAAGTGGAGCTATGTGAACGTCTTCAAACCGAAGCACCGAGACAATGTCGACTCACAAACAGTTTGGCCCTCGCACCGAGGCCCGCCTGTTAAAGGTGTAATGCACAGACCTCCATTTAAAGCTCGGAGGAGAAGGAGAAGAAGAAGAAGACGGGAACGGAACTTACCCGTGTTCTTTTTTCAGTGTTTCTACAACCGCCAAAAGCTCAAAGATCTGAGCCTTGAGCTCTTCTACAGAAGGCTTTTCCCCTTCGTCCGCTTCCTGTTTAAGTTTTGGTTCCCCGGCAGAAAGACTGACTCCGACAGAGGTTGGCGATGAAGACAAACGCGTCGAAGTAAATATGGATGGCTGAAAGAGGGGAAAGGATGGTTAGGGCAGAAGCACGCTAAGCAAATGCTGGAAGTGGCGGTGGCACAAGTTTGTTCACCGAAGGCCAAAGAAACTCTGCTGGGTGGCTGGCACCCAATCCACGCATTCAGAGTAGAGATTTAAAATTTCCAGAAATTTTGAAGCTCGGAAAAAAACCTGTTTTTTTCCCGATTTTTTCCGGGGGAAATGGAAATTTTCGGAAAAATTGAAAAAATGCTACATTAGCATTTCTTTTGTCTTTTCTAGATTAAAAGTCATTCTGATACTTTAGGAACATAAAATATGACTATGGACATTTTTACTTGGCATGAAATTATCACAACTAGCATATTAAAAATATAGTGTATCCAAACAATTATTACAAACAGAATACCCACCCACATGCAAAAACAAAACTGAAACCTTTTTATTTTCTTCTGACAATAGCACCTCCTAAAGGAAGAAATGCATCTTGTTCTTGCATTGGAGAGTTCAGTTTGTAACCTAGGACTTGTTAAAATAAAACGTTCCATAATCATTTTTTTTCTTTTTTCAATTTTTCCAATTTTTCGGAAAAAAACACAAAGGCTTCAGGAAAAAAAATGGAAAAAAACCGGGTTTTTTCCGGGCCTTCACATTTCTAGTGCAGAGCTTCAAACGTACTTCTAGTTGTCCTCAGGAAGTTGATCAACGCTTTATAGAAGAATGGCGACATAATCACTCCTTGAATGGACCTAGTTCCGGAGGGTAGCCGTGTCGGTATGCAGTAGAACAGCTCGATTTGACTTCTGTAGCACCTGAGAGATCCACAAGCTTTCAGGAGTCAGATCTGACGGAGGAAGCTTTGACCAGTGTTCCCTCTAAGCTGAGTTAGTGTGAGTTAGCTCACAGTGTTTCAGCCTCCGGCTCACACATTTTTGTCTTCGCTCAGGAAGGAGGGTTCCAGAGCAAGCTGATTTATGCAGCAGCCAAATCGCTTGCTCGCACCTTTAATGCCAGTAGATCACAAAGTAGAATTTTTGCTCACAAGACTCCACATCTTACAGGGAGCACTGGCTTTGACTCTTCAAAAGCTTATACCCAAAAACTCTTGTTGGTCCCTGAGGTGCGACTAGACGTGGATCTAGCTTGTGTGGATTGTTATGGTGGCCAGCCAGACTTATTTCTGAGTTAACCCAAGTATTTATTCATCCGTCAGAAATCATCAGTCCCACTGATCCACCCAACCACCTTGCAACAGTACATCAATTATAATCCACAGTCTTTCCTTTTTCAACAACGAGCTCCATTGCTGCAAAGAAGGACTCAGCCGATGACCTGGGAGCAGCAGAAGGAGTTCCAGCCAGAGATGCGTATGATTTAAGATTGAGAGGACCGAAGTAACGCTTTAAACTTTAAAGACTTGCAAACGAAGATGATGATGGAAGATTCTCAGCATGCACTTGAATGAACTGGAATACTAACATGAACTGACTAATTCTCTGACTTACTGGTTAAAACTGAAGTGTGGAATATATAAAACTAACTGAATACTAACTGTTAATGATCTCTACTCTTGGGCTTTTAGTTATAGTGTGGGTTTGATTTTCTGTCTTTAAATCCCGGGGTTCTGTTTCCTTCCCTTCTTATCTGTCTTTTAGTTTGTAGGTGTAACAAAAAATAAATAAAGCTACCATGTCTTCAGGGGATTAAAAAACAAACAAACAAAAAAACAATGAGCTCCATTGAACCGGACAGTATAATACATTTAAAACACCAGTCACATCTGAAACACCATCTCTATGTGGCCCAGATCAAGCAGATCTTAGAGACCGAGCGATACCAGCTCCGGAGACGGTGTGCACGAACAAACAGTGGAATTTGTTTTAAATTGTCATTCCCGACTGTTTTAACTTGTTTACTTATTTATATTGTGACACCGAATGGCCTTGTGATCTGTCCTGAAGCCACATGTGGGGACGGCGGAGTATACGTTCGAAAAATAAATAAATACATTCAACAAATAATAAATTAAAAAGCGGCAGTTTAACAGCTGGTGGGAGGTGGGCAAATCTGACCAGAAATGGCCGGGCGTCTTCCCTTTCCTTCCCCAGTCTTCCCGCTCCTGTGGGGAAGGACGGGGGAACTGGGGAAGGAAGGGGGGGCGTGGAAAAGAGGTTCTCAAAAAGGACATTAAAAATTTAGCTAAGGTGGGGTAGGAGAAAAATAAGCGGGTTCTAGATCAAATCAACCCTGAGCTCTCCCCTAGAAGCTGAGCTGAGGCTCTCGCGCTTTGGCCACATTACGAGAAGTCAAGACTCTCCGGGAAAGACGATAATGGTAGGAAAAGAGGAAGACCCAATCTGAGATGGACTGACCCAATCAAAGAAGTTATGGCCCTCAGTTTGCAACACCTGAGCATGGCTGTTAATGACAGGACGTTCTGGAGATCATTCATTCACAGGGTTGCCGTAAGTTGGAAACGACTTGACGCCACTTACACACAGACACACACACACGGGGGTTGGAGATAACTGCCTTTTCTCTGGTGAAAAAGGGAGATGGGGGTCCCCTCTGGGTCCTGAAAAATGCTGGGGACCACAGGACCTGTATGGAGAAAGGGCATGTGGGTTGTGAACTGTAGTAAACAGGGACGTTGGGTTGATCAACGGCAAGAGCCGGCTAGACCCAATCCAATTTCTAGAAGACCTCTACTTCCGTCTAGTGGTTGCAGAAGAAAAAGCAATTTGAAAAGTTCTCTCCTTTTACGAGTGGTAGAGGAAGTGTCTTCAGAGAGCTCGCGTATGCTGGGACCTTGATCAGCCACGTTCTTTCCTTACTGGGGTAAAAATGGGGAAGCCCATAGAATCTCTGCATCAGTCTTGTTATCTTATCTAACATGCAGAAGAGGCAATCAGTACATACCTGCTGCTTTAAAAGCCTTTAATGCCAAAACAGGGGCCCAATGATTATATGGGGTGCCCATCTGGATCAATTCAGCTGAAAACTTCATCAAACAACCTCAGTCCCATTTCCTAAGGAAAATTTTTTGGGGTTCCAATGTGTGTTCCCTATGAAGCTTTATGTCTGGAACGTGGCCAGAGCATGCTGATAACTAAAGCGTGGCTTACTACTATTAAGTATTGGCTTCGCCTTCTTTTTAATTTGGACTCCTCTACTTACATCCATCAGCTTCTATGAGAATCTAATGACTCAAATTGGATCACTTATATTGAATCCAAAATCAAATCTCTGGATATCACCTTAAGATTCCTTATTCCTTACTTCCGAATCTGAGGCTCTCTCAATCATAAGAGCCAATTTACTTCGCTCTGAG